CCGGGGGCGCCCCAGCCATGTCAGACCAGGGGCTGTGTCCACCATGGCCTGGATATTTCCCTTCCTCATGCTCCTCTCTCACTGCACAGGTAGGGAAGGGCTGTCGGGACACAGGGCAGCCCCCAGCCTGGTTCACTCTCTTTTGGCTGAGACCACTGAAATCACCCATCCCCCGTACCTGCCCTATTCATGAGTGTCTGTGTCTGCAGGTTCCCTCTTCCAGCCTGTGCTGACTCAGTCGCCCTCCTCTGCATCTCTTAGAGCATCTGCCAGACTCACCTGCACCCTGAGCAGTGGCTTCACTGCTTCAGTGTGGGTAGCTACACCATATTCTGGTACCAGCTGAAGCCAGGGAGCCCTCCCTGCCTTCTCCTCAGTCTCCACTAAACACCAGGGCACTGGGGACCCCAGCTGCTTCTCGGGATTGAAGGACACCTCAGCCAGTGCAGGTGTTCTGCATATCTCTGGGCTGCAGCTTGACGATGAGGTCGACTATGACTGTCAAACATACACAGCATCCCTGTCACTCACACGGCACTCCAGATGCACAGGAATGAGAAACTGAAACCTTCCTGCATCCTCCCTGCCTGGAGTCCTCCCTGCTGCATTTCCCGGGACCTCTTTTTGAGTTAGGGGTGACTTCTGTTGTCCCTTTTTTACACGGCACCTCATTTTAACCTAGGCACTCTAGATGTGAGAATATCTCTTCATTCTTCTGAGATAAAATCGTCACTTGATTCTTTGCTAATAATGTCCCACTGTGGCCATGTCTGCAGTGACAGCAGTCAGTCTCAGAGCTCAGTGTCCCTCTAGAGAGATGAGAGTCCAAGAAGGAAGTGGGTGACCCCAACCCCACCCAGTCTAGGGTCTAGGCCTTATGCATCTCTGGCCCTTATTGTACAAAATAATCCCCAATAGTTATGATGGCCCTTTTAACTTCTGGTCAACTATTTTCAGTAAAAAGCAAATGAATCCCTAAAATAAAATGATAAGAACTTGGGTGCACAGTGGAAAGGCAGGTGCATGTCTCTGGTGGAACATAGAAGAACATGGAAATATGGAGTTGAGTAAAGTTGGTGCCCACCCAACTGTTTACCCATCTGTGCAAGATGGGGGGAAGGTTACAGAGATCCTCTCTCTTTATGTTTATTATTCTGAAACATTCATGGTACATAGAGAACACTGTTCCATAGCAGCATCGCCAAATATTCTACAGAACTTTAAAATTTCATAATATTTTATTATTTATTTATTTGGAGAGGTCTTTGCTATAGGGCGCGTGCGCTTGCCAGACAGACAGAGAAAGAGACAGAGAGACAGAAAGCGAGAAATGACCC